TATGTATGCATGTATGCATGAATGTATGTTTATATGTATGCGATATCAACCGGGATTACTACAAAGAACCATTCAAGGTGCACTTCTGCCTGACCGGATCAGGGGCTACTTCAAGGGCAATCCGATAGAAATATGAACTTGGTCCCACATTTCTGTTTACGGAACAAAAGTAGAATGGAAGTAGACATGGATGGAAGGGATAAATTCGCAACACACCCGTTGAACTTCATCTTATTCTGTGCATACTAAGGGAATGTGGATGACACTACGTCTGTGTTTAGGGAACGCCATCAGGGCGATCTTACTTTGCTCCTGATTGTAAGTAGCAATTAACAAGATTCCATTAGACAGCTCGTTTATTTCCCCACGAGTTGCGAATAAATTTGATCCACCGGTCATGACATGCAGACTAGCATGAATCTACACACACGTACATAGTCAAAATGGGTGCCTCAATTAGTAAGATGATAGATAACTGGGTAGAATGGAACAGCACAAATCCTCGAAGGAAACAAAACGACGCGGTCGACAGACAGATAGAGAGGTAGAGAGAGTGAAGCTTTCCAACAGTAGAAGGGATTGACAGTAGTAGACGGTGATTAGAGGGCACTTTAATCAATTGAGAATAAAGTGTACCGGTGTGAAGATCTCTGACACGTTTGTGTAGATAGTTTGAAATAATTCACAATTTCACAGTTCTCCTACCGTTGTATTATTTGTCCAGTATGCGAAAGAAGAAATTGACCTGTGGTAAGGGTACAAACATGAAACACACAGTTAGATAAAACGAGTTGCGCCTTCTTTCATATAATTTTAATTTCTGTGTATTTTTAAAGATAGTGCCACAAAATCAATTTCCAAGAAGACCAATATGACCCATAAACAGATATGACGAACACGGGTGGCTGTGGTGGGGTTCGTACTCAGGCACTTCAGGTGGCTGTTCAAATTATCTCAACTATCTCTACCACTCGGGCATAAATACATCCCTACGGATGAGTATTCACCGTCTGAATTTAAATCAAGATGAAACTTGGTGGAATTGACAGCGTATGAAGGGATGGGAATAACAAGGTGTCAGTTCTGTGTGCAATGAGCGGTCAAGATCTGTGAGAATCCTCTCCGTAAATGTCACAGAGGAATTTGCATGCTACCCTGAAAGCTTCACAGTTAACTCATTCACAGAAACTGGAGAAACATTGCTAATAATAGTTAAACCACGGTATAAGGCTGGAATTTTGTTTGCTTACTCCAAAAAAAATTACGAGGAAGCTATTAAGTAAGATAGGGAAAACACCGCTAAACAAAGCGAGAAATAACTGACTGGGAAGCGTGAAACTGCATGAACTTTCGAGTCCGAAATGATGGGCGTCGCGGGTTAGCAATGCAGGTATGGATGTGGGTTAATCAAGGCAAATAGCTATCTGTAGGTTCACCAAGATATTTAAACAGTCTACCGTAGAAAAAAGATTTTTATTCATNACTAGGGGGTCTGTCGGATATGAAGTGCGTGCAAAACTATGTAAACAATAAACATATTTACTGAAAAACATTTACTTGCAAAACCCAATTCCCAGTCTATCTGGCTTGTTCAGCACCAATGCAACTAGCTTACCCCCGGCTACTAACAGCATCAGTTGTTCAGAAATTGCGCGGGAATATTTTGGGTTGTGTGCATCTCTGCAGTTCCGAACGAAAATCCCAAATATCATTTTGACCAGGGTCGTAGGGATCAATGCTTCGGCGAGCCGATCACGTTGATTGATCAACGAAGCTGGAAGGACGCTTTGCTTATACAACAAAATCTTTCATAGGTCACTAATTTCGGAAAACCGCTGGATTTGTGGACATTTTCCTTCCATGATTAAGGAAGTGAATTGTTTTACTAAGAAAATCCACGCCTCGTTTCAGTTTCAGTTTCAGTTTGCACAACCATTAACCATGCACTGTCGTGTGCCGGTTTTGGTCGTTATCTTTCGGCTTCCCGTTCGGATGAACATTGGGAGAAAGACAGGAAGGGTTGAAAGTAGGATCGAAGGGAAGATTGAAAAGTTCAATGGATTAATGATACGGAGAAATTGAGAAGATGCACGAACGCCACTGTTTACGGCACCCAGCCATATCACTCAGTGTCTCTAACCATCGGGTACGACCATCCCGAGGTCTCCATCCAGGGAGCCTAACGGGACCTCGTTTACCATGCTCAGGAGCGTCAACCGCAAATATTCTTGTCATATGACAACGCTCGACAACATCACGAGCGGGCTGAATGCAAATGTGTACACACAGTAGCGAATGGTCTATCAGCTAAAAATGACAATTAAAATGGTGTTCTTTTTCTCCGACCCCGTCCATATGGTCATTTCACACAGAACACGGTTGGCTTTTTTCTGAAAGTTCCGTTGGTGGCTGGGTGAATCCTGGATTTACACTTCAAATCTGGGAGCATAGGGGGGTGGGGGGTGGGATTATGCAGGCGGATTCTGATAGCCTCCACTGTAACCAAAATCCTCCTAATTCCCTTAGATCGACGGCTGCAGACTAAGTCGATGGGTCGAAACGCCTCAATCTAATGAACCACGTGATGTGACTAAACTATGTGTGAAACGATCAAACTGTTGATAGTCCTAATCACCCCGGGCCAGGTAATGCTGGCGAACTCGTTTAGATAAACGTCTCCTCGTGCGACCAATATAACAGGAACAAGTGAACAAGTACACACAGAATGGGACTGCAGAAAATCCAAGAGTCAAAGTGGCCTGAAGGTGAAGTTTTGCTGCAAGGAATGCGTTGTTTACAGCTGTACTCAGTTTACTTGTCACGAGTTTTGCAACTCTATCGCCAAATAAGATCACTACCGTTGAGAAGAAACCGGTGTACATATCATTACCCCTTAAGGACGATACCACTCCCGAAATGGTGACACTCAAACTGAGTGCAGCTCTAGAAAAGGATCCGTCAATAAATGTGGCCATAATCGAAACATTGAAGCTGTACGCCAAATTCTTCGGGTTTTATCAGCATGGACAGAGACGGAAATCTCGCCCTCGTCAGATATTTCTCATCTTCAATTTTCGAATTGCGTTCTCCGTTCCTCTTTTATTCTCGAATTTAGTGTTTGTGCCTTCATTTGCCCTTCCGTTACTTCTTCCCGACTTGAGAAGTTGGTTTCTTCCGACGAGAATTCCAGATAATTTGGATGAAGGTTCCATTCTCTTCTTCTAATAAACTGCTTTAGTGAGTATCATCCACCGCTCTTTCAACAGCAGTGATCCTTCAACATTTCAGTATTTATCTCCCCCCCTTAAACGTCGAATCGTTAATGGTAAGACGACGCAGAAGACAAACAAAGATTTTGGGAGATTTGATTGTCTACACCAAGGAGTGGCTGCTGTACTCCTCAGACACTTCGGATATCGTTTGTTGTGATCAATGGAATGAGTCAACTAGTTGACTTTCCTCGCATGCATCATTGATTGTATTGGCGATCAAGCCCAAACCTTATCCCTAATACCTCATTCACCCATATCACTTTTACTTCTCCGCTTGACTCATGTAGCCATTGCCTCATTTACTTCACCGCTTCTATTCCTCAACCCGTTCCACCACCTGTGTTCAAACGCGCCTTTAGTGTGATGGCTCTTTTAACTGGGATGGCTTTTGAATACGTTTCTANAATATAGAGAACTAGAGATCCAATCAAGTTTAGGCAGATATTGTTGTACATAACGCATAGAAAATTGGTATTAAAACGATGAGTCGCCTTGACTTGATATGAGAATGGTCAAAATCTTTCATATATCGATTACACCAGAAATTGGTGGGGTGGGGGGAACACGTAAGGGTTTTACAGACAAGATAACTTGGAAATCCATCGTGATTGTCAAAATTGTTTATTTGCCATGAGTTATAGCAAACATTTTATTGATAGGTAGAAAATATAAAATAATTTATGACGTTCCAAATCCGCAAACCAAGGCAAAGGCAAACGAGGAGGAGCTGGCTTACTAGAACACTGAAAAGGCTTTAAAAAGAAACGTAATGTTTATAACTCAAAATTCTGATGAGAATTTCAACATATCAATAACGGTGGTGGAATCGGATCTATCATTTTTGCAACAACTGCGGTAGTCCTTTACCCTACCACCGGTTTCGCATCTATTTACGACTGCAAAAGTGAAAAGCTATGCGACTGGTGGTTATGTCACAGCTTCGGTTTTTTTGTATCTTTGATCCATTTTCTATACTTCACAACGATTTTAAAACCAAGGCAACAATTTCGCTTCAGCTCATTCTTCGATAACACGAATGACTCGGTCTCACAGGGTCGATAGCTGCTGATCAAAGAGAGCCATCCGAGCTGTTCTACTTCATTCAGGTGACAACGTCAAGTACATTCGCTTGTGTTTGTACATTGCAGAACGATAAACGGACCACGAGAATAAATGCAGATGGGTAAGTGGTCATGGACCAATCACTTCACTATTACAACCAACCAATCACATGACAACTATGAACCATTGTGACAGAGGTGTGACTTCTTTGATTCTATTTCTGAATAGACAAATGGTATATTTGATGTATGGGATCAGTTAGTCATCAAACTCCTAAAAACTCAACTTTGCGCACTACAAATTACTTTATCAGATCTGATGAGTAGCGAAATAATACATATCTCACATTACTACTCATAAGTAGTTAATAGTTTAAATGTATTGAGCCCATCACTACAAAGTGTACCCAATGCTGCATGGAATAACTGATTCATCGAGAAACCGAAGGTGGGCACAAAATCGATGTATGATGTGTGATCAGAATTGGTAATGATTGTGTTTCAAATATTTATTTTGTTATCCACCTGTGTGTTGGAGCATCTACGTTTAAAATAGTATCAACTTTGTCAATTCCTCCATAGACATTCCCCTGCAGAATTATTTAGATTTAGATTTCACCCTGGATAAAATTTGTACTCTTAAGATATAATATGTTGCAAAGATGTGATTTCCATTTGTAATACGAACACTTCACTGGCATTGAAAATTGAAACCCTTTGGGGTTTCCGTACCTCCAGTTCAGCATCTTCCGGTAGATCGGTGCAATGCAGCGCGTTTTTCACCTTATCCACACCAAATTGCGCTCGTAAAGTATTGGGTCGTAAAAATCGAGCGATCTCCTGAACATACGATGGGGTGTAGGATCAAAACAAATGAGAATTAACGATACAATGGGTCGGAGAATAACACTGTCGAAATTCGCAGCGTCCTTTTCATTCGTGTACATGAAAATCACGACGGTTTTCTCTCGACAAAGAGAATACAGTAAAAGTCTAACAATATACACATATAGTATAAGGGAATAATAAGGTTTGAAAAACGATATTTGATGGCCTGATTTTATTTCTATCGACGACGTGATTCCAAGTCAGCCTTATTTCTTCTTCCGGGAGCTAACAACTATAGTTTTTTTTTCAGTGACCACTGTTTCATCCACAGTCGACCGAAGATTGATTATCGTTCTGCATGAATTTCTTTTAATCAATGATTTCAGACCGAGCACCACTTTGTCAGCAATGTTACCTCAGAGAAACAGTTCCCCAATACTGTGTCCGTTTGATTTTCTGTAGAGGCTTCTTCCCTTCGCTTCATAGACCTTTATATAAAAACTGACATGAGTTTTAACATTTTCTGCACGATTAAAAAATGTTTACCCAAAGAAGAAGCCAAATGGTGCCTAAACAATCTGCGTAGAAAACGGGAATGTGATTACGAGATCATAGATGTCGCCAGTGTCAAATGCGTTTCACAAGCCATCAAGAGTAAAGTAAAACTCGTCGAAGAATTATCTGCTGTTCACCCAGTTAACGACCAATAGATATAAATGGAAAAAACAAAATATCAGCGTTACCGATTGCAGCTCACTAAACCAGAAGGGAGGGCTAAAACATTTAAAATTTCACAAAGCTTACGACTGCAGTTCCTGAAAGATTCCTTCGTATATTTTAGAACATGGTGCCCTCCTCTCAAACGATGTTATACCGACGTTGCTCACCGAATTGTTCCATTCATATGCAATTCCTAGTAGATGATGAGCATTCTCTGATACGATCAGCCATAAATCCCCTTATTCTCCTAATGTTTTTAATCCATTTGGCCCCATAATTTTCAGATCATCTTGTTGAATCCTTGAGGAGTGTTTGGTTCTTAAACGGCCACACTCTTGAATCAGTGTCCTTGGCAAATAATTAAATTTGCCTTCCTTAACTCAAACGGTACAAAAAGCAAGCACTGACAGTAACCTGCGTGTTTTAAGTGAAATAGATAGTTTTATGGTGATCGTGCAACTAATGCGCACGCACCATGATAAATCTGCCAGGTAACCAATCAGGAGACGGAGTTTTCAAGTAGAATCAAGTAGAATCACTCTGATTGACTGAACGCAAGAAAACCACCAAACAGATCATATCATTGGCGATTGAACATCGAAGAATCGACCAGTGATTGTTTGACGCTTGTGATATTTATTTGCATGATTTTCCGAATAGAACTAAATGTATACACAGTTCATCTTGGTTCTATTTGACTTTGAGCTATCCAGTGGTTTTTCAGTCCGAATCCGAGTTTGCGCTATTTGAATTCGATTCTTAGTCCGAATACGACAAGTTACCACTGACGGCTAGACCACTGAAATCGGGCCTGATCTTTCTGCTCACCATACTTGAAGCAGCTTGTCGGAACCGACTAATGTGAATGTTTTATCAGTAACTATCACCTTTTTCTGTTCGACTTTCCATTTAATTTGATTATTTTGGGCACAATCCACTCAATCTGGAATGTGGTTTTCATTTATCCCGGGTACTGCTTCATCTTGCTTTATTGTCGATGTAACGCATGTTGTAGAACATGGTTTTCATGGTAAAAAAAACTACATTCAATTTCATCTGGTTGTGTATATGAAAAAGAAGATGTGTCCAGACATGAACAGAAACTTACGCGTTCGTGAGACATTGTAGATAAACAGGGGAAAGCTACAGACAGTGTGGGCAGTCTGCTAAACTATCCTCACTGCCACGTACGACAATGAATAAGTGCATCAGTGAGCCCGATACAACCAGGGATCAACTTTTTATTAATTGTGTTCAATCCATGGTTTGGTTTTGTCAATTATGGTCACTCACTCTCGCTCTCGCTCTCACACCCGCGCACATACAAAAGCAAATAAGTGCAAACACTGTGAATAACTTTTACTCCGAATTAATTTAGTAGATGAAAGTGTTTTGAAGCCCAGGATATCTATCTGTGTGCATACGAGTAATACATTGCCTCGGCAGACAAAGTCAAAGTTCATCCCTCTTCGGTCACCTACCGGATCAATCGGACCAACCAACTCTCGGAACAGCCGTTGCGCATTTCCATCACCGGATTCCCCAGGTGACATCACTTCCAGTGCGACACACGGCCCAGAGGACAACTGGTCCAACATTTCCGGATACTCATGAACCACACCTTTGTATACTTCGAGAAATTCGGCCGCGTCCAATTTGGACAATCTGTACAGTCGTGCAGCAGTGATACAAAATCCTTGCTCTTGTATGACAGATAAGATTTTCCCGGTTAAACCTGAAGTAATGGAGATTAGTAGAATGCAGTTAGACACAACTGAAGATATTGAATAAAATGACGAGTGAATGGTTGTACTTCATTTTAGCAAAATACTCGAATGATTTCTATGCAAACATTCAAATGACCATGAGAACACTTCAGTCATTTTTTGTGTGATACAACGTTATGATGATCGACAACGAGTACAAAACAACCCTTCAATCTCTGTGGAGGTCCAGTCAGCGAAGCATCTTCCAGGGGGCTTGAACCTCAACGGCAGATCATAAATCAATTGTTTTGCAGACCACATCATACAGCGCAAAATTTTGTGTACGCGGCTGTTGTAAGAGCGAGCACTGAGAGGGACTTCTCTTGTTAGTAAGACGGTAGGCCGGGACACCTCCGTAAGTTCTCATGTAATCAGGAAAATAACAAAACAAATCGAAAATGGGCATGCCATCCGGACAGCTCTGTGAACAAAATACAACAAATATAAAAGACCAAATAGAGCACAGTGAAAAAATGGAAAAAAGCTTTGTTATTCTCGTAATTTTGATCCTCTCCAATTGTTTATTTTCCACTTCCTTCAGTTCAGTGTCCCGATTCTCCCATTTTCTGGTATTATTAATGTTGCATTGGAGTCATACGTGCTCGCAAGCCAGTTATATATACACATATCTATCATTTCTTTATATATAATAATATGATTTTCAGTTGTTCGCCGAACTTGACAATTATATTTCAAGCGTTTCGTCCCCAATCGAGTGGACATTCTCAATGCAGTAACTGGGGCAGTATTTAGGAGTGTCCCTTTCCTCATATGAATCGTGTAATGATGTAGAGACGTCACGTCAGGTCTCTACACTACCGGTTTCACGTTTACTGCTGCTCGTCAAGCATGCATATTCAGCAATCTTTTGTGAGTTCATGTAATGATCAAGCACGACAGTCAAGAGGGTAGTGAATGAATTACAACGGGCAGATCACTCTTACTGGTCGCAACAATTCGATCTGGTAATGGGCAAGGTCACTGTGCCGCGAGTGTGTGTTTGTGTATGATAATATTCAGCTTCGACCATGCAATCAATAATGCCATAGACCCCAGTAGTTATCGGTTCAATCCAATGCTGTTTGGTGTCACGACAGCAACAACCAGCATCCTTATTGTTTGTGACGTACGGTTGAGTACCTGAATGTTGTACCTTTACCAGGTATAATGAAGGTGCAATCATTAACCAATAAAACTACGTAAAAACCACACATTTTTCGGAACAGCTCAATCGAGCAGATGAAAAAGAACAAGAAGCGATCGGTTTATGTGTGGTGGGTTTCAGACCATTGTGGCGTTTCCAAGAAAGAACGCTTACCAAATAGAAAACCCATGACGTCCATCGGTGCTACCACCGCACGTCCATCATCGCTTGTTTTGGTCGGTCTTGGCTCCCTTTATTCACGGTTAGACACGAATTTTCAGTTTCAGTTCATACAAACATCAACCATACATTTTCATGCGCCAGTTTTGGTTGCTGTCTTCTGACTGCCCATTTGAATAGAAGAGCAGAAGGAAGATTGATATATTGCGACCAGCACTAATTTGGTGGGCGTTTCTTTATCCGCGACCAGTGGATGGGCCAGATTCTATGCTGCTGTTGAAAAATTGGTGCCTGTTGTGTTCCAAGTAAATAAGCACACAGCGAATTAAGCAGTAAGTTTATCGGAACCGACAAATATGTAGCCGGTTCGCAAACCGGGGAACAGGTAGGGACAGACAACTTGCAGGAAGGCAGGCAGGCCGACTCCGGCTCACAATTCGCACTACACCCGAATGCCGTCAAGCCTGCATTCAAACAGTCAGTTAATCGATCAATCAATAAATCTGGCCACAGCCATGTATGGCAAGCTAATCAGTCAGTTGTTGATCACAACTCGGATCCGGAAGACATTATTTCAACTACGCAAGTCGTCAGTATTTTATGATTTGATTTTATGATTTCTTGTTTTTCCTTGTGAAAAGACCAACCCTTGCTTAATTTGTGGAAGGATAGGTGATTTTGTGATCAACAACTCACTGATTCATTTGCCATATATGGCTGTGACCAGATTGATTGGTTGATCGATTGGTTGGTCGATTGACTGACTGACTGTTTTAATACCGGCTTGTCGGCATTCGCATGTAGTGCAACGTGTGAACCGAACTCTGCCTGCCTGCCGGCCTTCCTACATTCTGATCGTTCCTGCTTGTTCCCCGGTTTGTTTACCGGCTACATATTTGCAGTTTACAATAAACTTACTGCTTCATTCGTTGTGTGCTCCCGTACCTACTTAATTTGGGACACAACAGTGCCGTAGATGCAGACTGACACTGGGATATGCTCAAGAGTTTGCATCATCGCTGTTCTGCTTGTTCCACATGTATGTTTGGTTGGATGGTTGCAAGTAATGATTGCTTGGATCATTCTCTCCTGCTCGTTTCACCATTTTACAACGTAGATTCCCCCAGGGTTAATATATCCTGATGTTGTTTTTTTCAGCTAGGTTCTAAACGCTTACTTGTGTTGAAACCACCACTTCGAGAGGTTCAAGCTTTGATACGATAATTTTGCTGGCTACGTCTCTCTGATTTCAGATACATTCAAGTGTAGAACAATATAAACTATCGGTGCTTTTGAGGGAATAATATGATTTTCCCTTAAATAACCAGTTGCTATTCTTGCTGCTAATCGGGTGAATAAGTACTTGAGATTGTACAGAATACGTGGGGGTAATTCCTTCGGAATGCACTTGAAATGCATAGTTATGTAATCTCAGAATTTTTTGATGCATTGTCTGGTTATAGTGAGACAATCAGACGATCAAGAGTGAATCACTTTATCAAATACTTGACCGAAAAACTGAGAACCTTATAAACGTTGACAGAAAACGTTTCATATACATTCATGAGTCTACCAGACCAGTTCCCACTTAAATGGTTTCCTTTTGGAAGCTGAAGTTAACTTAGAGCAATAGAAAAACAATTCACCATCATTCTTGCTGTCTATCTAGCATGTCCAGTTAGGGCTCGACGTGAAATCGCCTCCACTTTTAAAACCAGTTCAAACAACCTGATTTAAATCAAGAAAGCTTGATAAAAGAGGAAACAAAAGCGCACATTTGGTTGCCCCCACTCAGTGATCATCTCGATCTTATATCTTCATTCAATATTAGAAGATTGGCCTAGATATGAAAACCTTGTAGAGCGAAATAAAATATCTGCGCTTTGCTTTAAAAGAAAGGAGACACCTTTTCGCCCGACGGTTGGGTTGGGTTCAGATCAAAACTTGGTACAAGTATAAAAAATGGAAACTATCCTTTTTGTAGGGGAGGGAGAACAAAATAACTGAGATTGGCATGGTAGGGGTTGATTGTTTCATCGCGCTTCATTTTGAGTGTTTTTTTCTGAATTTTTTGTCAGGATACAAAATGACAACGAAAGACGTAACAACTCTGGGATGGAACCTGGTTACAAGATAGGTGCTTCAGGGTTTCCAACCAGGGGAATGGGAGACATTTTTAGCCCCGTTCTGGAAGCCGAACGGTATCAACAGACTAGAGGGCTACTTTCAGCCTCTTCATTCTATTTTGCCATGTTCTGAGCTGTTCTCCATGTGAACTTACCCTAGTACGCCCGGAGCGCGTGAACGTGGTACGTAGCGGAGACCACATTGCATTCTCAACATATGTCCGAGTCATCTTAAGTTCCCGCTCACGTCTCTTCAGTCACCAAATGTTCGGCGGCACTTGTATTGCCCATGTGTTCTCGGAGCTCAGAGCGATATCCTCGACGGATTCAAAGCTGTACACATTCATTCTGAAAACCACACGACGCTCTTTTAGGATATTGTTCACAGCGAAATGGAAGAGAAACGACAAGGATGTGTATCGGTACCCCAATCCGTCAAAGTGATGGGGATGAAATTTTGTTTTGAAGCTTAACTCAACCTGAGGTCTATCAGTAGGACAGCGACGTTCTTTTTATGCAATCTGGGCCTTTCAAAACACCTCCTCAGAGAAGTCCCATTGAAAGAGTCAAAGATAGGTCTACTATTTAGAAAAGCACAACGACTGTTAGTTTTTGGTAGTGATGACAGTTTATGAGTACCTGACGAGCAGCGCAGATTTGACCTGTAAAACCATGATCTACACTAAACCCGTATAGCTCTTTCCTTATCAGTTCCTCTCGTTTTGTAACAACCATTGGAGGAAAATTGATGCCAAAATTTTGGATACGATCGGAGCTAAGCTAACACCCCAATGATTAATACAGGTGATCAAATTGCCGCACTCCGCTGACTCTTGGCATTCGCCTTATCACCTCTGGATCATAATTGGAAATAAACTGGTTTTTCTCTTACCGGATTATTTTACATGTATATCGTATGCTTGTAAATAAGTTATTCTTTGTTAAAATGCTTTATCAAATAATGAGTTACTCAATGGGATGCGGTGAAAGTCTTTTCCAAATCTGGCAGCACATGCTAGTGGCTTACCTTCCACCACCGCATGCGGCTTAATCAAGCCCAATGTGGTTCCCCGAAGTCTTGGCAGTCCACGAAAACTAGGACCGCCGGGGTTGCCAAAAATTTGATGCGCTTGACAAGAGGCCTTATCCGGTGTTTTGGCTGTGACAATCAGTTCGGAATTGAATACCACACCGTCATTTGGGTCGAAAGCACCGCCAACGATCTCACAAATTAAACTGCATGCGTTGTTGCACATCAGTTCCAGAGCGACCGCGATCTTTTGGGACATTTCTGACAGAAGGAACCTGAAGCGAAATCACAGTGATTAGTGATGCATGTTTTAAATAGACAAATCAAAGGAAAAGCGCTGTGAGAAGAATTCCATTCATATACCCTCATCGATCGCGTATATATATCATTACACCAAACAGACAAATATGAAATTAATTGAGTTTTTATGTATGCAATCGGTTACTGTCAGGGATATATTTGAAATTCAATACCTTCCCCCCGTTAAGACACCCAGTTTTGTGATTACGTTTGAATTATGTTGTTTTTACCGTTTAGTGAATAGGTATCTGATATTCTGGATATCAAAATGACGTGTTATCTTCGCTAGTTATTTCTTCATTGTTGGTGGGGCATCGGTGATGCGTTCACTTTGTATTTCCACTGGAAATCGAATAGCGAGTCTCCGGATTGGGATTAGAACCATCATAATACTGGATCTACAAGGACAACGGGCAACAAGCTGAGTGCACGCTTAAATGGCTGGTTTGATATGTCCTGTTTGTGCACGCTGAAACGTGTCATTGAGTATCCTGAGAAGCATAAATACTTGCCCGTATTTACATTAATGAAGAAGAATTGATCAATAAGTGGGAATCTGATACTAAACAGTTTTCCTCTAAAAATTAACTTCCATGGCTCGAAAGGCTGACTGGTATGAAAGGTAATTTCTTGGAAATTATGGATATATATTTAACAAGACGAAACGAAACCTCGGGATAAGGTCTTTTACCCTCTTAGTTTCAACTTGCCATCGATCATTCATTTTAATCATCTTCGCCGACCATTTTTCAGACTTCAGCATCACACACATTTCTCAACTTATCCTGGACCGGGAGGGAGAATGAAGCATGCAGGACGAAAGGTCCAAGTCAGTCATAATCTATTCCTTTCTTCTCCTCTCCACTACTCTCAAATAACTGAGTTATTAGAAAATAAAAAATGTTCCTTTTAACCCCATACCCGCGTAAGGAGTCGAAGAAATGCAGTGATAACCTACGATTGATCGTATTCCTGTTAAAGGTATTGTGTATCTCTAATCAATCACTTTAAATGACTTAAAGGTTCACTCGCATTGCAATCCTTTTCAGTAAAGATTTACAAAAGCTGTCCATATTTTTGTTTAAATTTGTGCAACATCACCCTAGATTCCATAATTTTTAAGTGCAAGGATTAGACTTAATCTTTTAATAAGTCAGTAGACAGTTCTGACTTCCTCGGAATGAAACGTGTTTTGGAGGTGCGAACTGTAAATAAGGTCACGATGGGCCCTGCGGCTAAACTGTTCTTACTTGAGCGCATCCGAGTGGCTTTCAATGCGGCTCACCGTTAAAGGTCCGGTAAGCAGTGAGCAATGCTCACCGCCATGCGAAGACTTCTTGCTACCGTGACATGCCCTTTTACTTGGAGTGAATTATGACCTGACATACGCGGATGTTAGACGCGGGACAAGCAGGTATGGAATCGATTATGAGAATGGAAAAACGCAATAGCATCTAGGACACCAGCAGAGGTAATGAGAACGTGAGAAAAGAGTTTATAATCGTGGAACCCAAGAGGTGAAACGCGGAGAACAATATGATGATAGGCAAATAGAACACGGAAAGACTAACTGTGAGTGGTAATTGAACGTATGCTCCAAAATTGTAATCAACCGTCTGTCTAGAAGTTAACTCGCCACAAATAGCTGTTATTCAGTCAGCAGATATACTGGCAATTTGCAACTGAGCTTGCCAAATAAGCTGTCAATGGACCGTCAAACTATGTTCAAAACATTGGGAGGACAGGAAGAGACAACTTTTACTCTATCTAATTGAACAGATATAGAACCAGAGAAGGAAAAATTGACTTTTGCTACACTCTGGCACGTGAAATTTATGAAAGCTGCACAATCATCCGGAAAAACGTTTTTTTTTAACATCACCATCATCGGTTCAAGGGAGTTCGTGAAGCATGTGTCTTAGAGAATGCAATCACGAAACTCTGGCAGAAATTAAGACATCCTAAAATCAACGGAGTTGTGGACAGTTGGATTAAATTACATAGTAAACTTCCTGATTCACAGAGAAAGCAAACAAAGACTGAGATAGTGTGAAACACTGCATCTGCATCTCCACCGGCATATGCCATAATTAATTCCGAAATCGAACTAATTGGTTCACTAATCCCATGGAACAAGTAGTCTGGTTCTCTCTTGCTTTGTACCGAGTCACAAACCTCAAGCCTAGTGAAAAAACTGAGCACGCTTCCTTGCTAACTCCGATTTAGTCATTTAAAACCCTAAACCTTGTTGAATCGGCTTAAAAGTTTGTGGGCTCAGTGTATCATCAGCACCTTTTTTGTTGTTTTTACTTTGCTTTTTCTATTACAATAGATTGAAAATGTAGCAGATGAATATCATCTCCCATTGGGCAAATTAGAGTGGTTTCTTGACTTAACTTGAAGATCATATGCCCGAAACAAGACATTAATGCCAGGTTGTGCTATATCGTTCATGAAAAAGATGATAAATTATTTGGTCGGCTACCCGATTGATAGCTGTTGTAGCATGCTAGCATTCTAGGTTTAGTCCCGGGTTCAATGGATCCGCATTGCAGGTGATATGCTAAAAAAGATCCAACCGGTTGACGCAAATCCATGTCATTGTATTCAACGCAAATAATGCGAATTTGGTGAATGAAATAGAGAAATGACCGTTATTTGAGCACCATTTTTTAATATATATTGAGACAGGATTAGTTATCACATGTTATTTCTCAAATACGTTTCCCTCTTCTCTGAGTAACTGTATTCCTTCCTTCCTTTTCTTCCCCATCGCTTGCCTCAAACCGTTAAACTTTCTCGTGACCTAACACTTACGAGCAACCAAAGAGACTAGTCAATATACATTACCTTTCTCTTAAATAACCCTACAGTTTACAGCTCGCTCCATATGCCTTTTGCCTAAAAACGCTGTTCTCTAGCTTTTCTTATCGTCTGCAGAATTTGCATTACATTTTTGTAACGCGGTTTGTACACTAGAAATCTGTCCGACAGACCGAGTGACACGCAAATCCTGAAGTCAAAAGAAGTGCAGTACTATTATGAACAACGTATGACTAGGATAGGGCGGCCAGGATTTGTGAGATAAATCGGAACGTATATGGTTGTATTGTCTAGGCACAATCATTTCGAATGAATTTGGTTGGAAACATATGTGCAAAAGGGTCCGTGGGGTCGACAAGCCTCTGAGTGTAAAAAGAATCGTCCGGATGGCCGAAAACTGTTTCGTTATATTTTTGGGACTCTTCAGCAGTGCGCCCTTTTTGTTGCCCTTACAGGGCTCAAACTGCGAATCTTCCCTAAACACTAACCGTGTAATTTGATAATTGACCCATTATTTGTACGAGATCAAAACGCCAATGGTGTGAGAAACAGGAGCATGGAACGTGTGTGCGTGTGTACCGATCGGTGAACGAGTGAATACCAAATATGGCACAGGTAACTACAGCGGAAACAGCAGGTGGTAATCAACTAAGCGGATACTGGTCAAGGGTGGAAGGAAAACAGTTGTCCCGATCGACAGACTTGTTGTGACAACTAAGTTTTAGGTAAGCAAAGAGGGGGGATGAGACGAATCAGTGATGGACCGTATCTTCGAAAAACGAGCCTTGTTTGACAGTGAACCAGATTCAACATACTCTACTGATCGTCCCTGGAATAGTTCGTTTCACTAAAACTGAACTGCTGTAATACTTCCATTAAATTAAATGTTCTCTATTTAGTTCACTGTGAGAAGATAATCCTGCAACCAACCATATTATCCGAGAAAATAGAAACAGATATTCAACCTGGCATCGTTATATAAAAATGTGCGTGGATTTCGTATGCAATTCATTTCAAACTGTGCGGCAAACAAACCTGTCAGGATGGAGCTAACAGAAACCACCAGGCTGCTCACGGATCCATGTCAAGACATAAGCACGCTCGCGTCGCAAAAGGTAAGTCGAGTCCGGATTGAATGATTGCAAAACAAATGATTTCGCGATGGAACAATCAACCAACCAGAGTGTAATGGACGCAATCTTATCTGAGTCTAATTGTGTCGTTCTCGTATTCTGAACTCACCATATTTAGTGCGCATCAAACCGTAATCAAACAATACATTCTGACTGCTTTCCCGAGTAATGGTCTGGCTCTGCGTTATTGTTGAGGTTTAAGCAAAAGCCGTTCAAGTCAATCATACCTCCAAGCCGAACGCAACAAGATCCTGTTACAAGATTCCTGCAGAATACTTTCCTTGGGAGGTTTGATTTGAACCGCATTTTGTTGTTGTGTATTTTTGCTAACGTATACGACTTTCTCAACTTGACCAATCACGTCCGCTCTAGACGAATTCCCTCTTATTTCCACGATTCCACACGGTGGAATGCTGATCACAATCGTACTAATCCTAAGAGCATTCAAATCTTCTATTTGCGGCCCATGGCCTAGACATTTTCTGCTCTGAATTTGACTAAAAACATCATCTTCAAACATCCAGAGACG